TTTTTAGTCTGTAAAAATGCATTATATAAAGAGCCTTTGGCTCGTTTTAAATAAAGACAACTCATTAGAGTTTTAAAACTTCGAAATCATTGCAGTAGAAGTTGTTCCCTTACCAATTGATCCCTCTGACCCAAATTCGCTTAAGTAAAACCAATTTCTGTCCCAGTAGTAGTTTAGAAATTAGTGTAGTTTGTAAGAGTATAGGAAGAAACCCATATTCGTACAAAGTACCTCTGATATAGTAAAATACCCCAGAACCCCTAAATTCCATTGTTATCGTCAATTTATCAAACAATAGAAGATCATCGAAATTACCTGTGACTTATTAAGCTCATGACATCATCGATCGATTGAAAATCCGATTTTTGACACTCTTCCTTGTGACGTTGATTTTAGATTCAAATACTTTGGATCACCGATTATAACACTTGTGACATAGTGGATAAATTAAAGAACCGATCCTGATATCAATTGCCCGTGACGTAATCAAGATCATCGTTAACGATCGAAACTTGAATATTAAATCGCCGATCGACATAGATAATCATGACCATGTGACACGTGACCCAAAAGAAGTAATAGTTCGTAATAGAAGAAGTAAAAGTGTTAGTGATAATACTTTCGAGACACCAAAGACATATTAGAAATATATTATAAGTCTAAGACTTATCTGAACCCGGCAACCTCACCATAAGGCCTTACAAAGCTCTAAAACTCGGACCAAGTCTTTCCACGTCTCATTTCGAAGCCTACCACTCTAGGGTTTTGGTTTTATTTTATAATAGAATTAGTGATTAGTTGGTTTGTGTAGTATTATAGTATAGTTAGATAGTTATTTTTAGCATATATTTCAGTAGTCAGCACGCTCTCAATTGGTGGTGACTATGAGATACCTACTTCAAATTTTATTATTATAACATATATATACAAAAACAAAATTTCCCTTAAATTGATATTGCGAAAATAACATGTCTGATTTTGAGAACAACCGGACAGTTGAAGGAGAAAGAGTTGAAGACAGAGAAGAAAGCATTCTCTTTGAAAACCCACCCGCACATCAAAATCAACCAAATGATCCTATTCAAACTTATCATCTCCTCCGGGAAATCGCTCAGGCCTTTCGAAACGTTGCTATATATAATGTCCCACCTAACCCACGCGAAAATAATTGGGTCCATGTGAAGACCTTTAAAGGCGAGGACAATGAAGACCCAGTGGAATGGGTCGAAGCCTTTGAAAGAGCCACCGATGCAAACAATTGGACCCTGGTCAGAAAAATGAAGATTGCATCTGGACATTTGGCCGGAATTGCTACCTCCTGGTATAATGATAACAAAGACCACCTCCTTTTCTGGGATGACCCTGACAATGCTGAAGATAGCTTCGTTCAATCCCTTATCCAGTACTTCACAACACCAGAACGAAAGCATTTATGGCAAATTGAATTAACTACAATGAAGCAAAAGAAAATGAAAAAGTAGACAAGTACTCTTACCAATTCAAGAAGCTCTTAAAAAGGGTAGACCCAGATCGACAAATACCTGCCGCCTATGTCGTCAGAATGTTTATGGGGGCCTTCATGGAAAAACAGCCACCCTAATGTCCGTAGAAGACCTTGCAACGCTGGGTGAAGCAATTGCGAAAGCCAGAAAGATCGAAGCTGGCAATTACTATGAAAATAGAAATAGTAAAGGACCCAACAATCAGCTAATTGACGATTTAACAAAAAAAATGCAAATGATGGCTGCAAACTATGAAAAATTAACTACCATGATTGCAGCTAAAGCTGAAATTAGCCCCTGCCAGTTTCCACAACAACAATATCCACCCCGACAACCCTGAAATGAAGGCATTGAATGCTATAATTGTGGAGAGCGAGGCCATATAGCTAGGAACTGTCATTCTGAGCAACATTGAAGCCCCCAACCAACAACTACAAATCCTAATCGAGTCATAAATCCAGTTAGAAATGTCAACTTATGTGATGTTTATGATTATGAGCAGAATAATGAAGCATACACTATTAAGCGTCGGGAAAGACCCGAAACTGACACTAATTGGGATGAAAGACTAAGGAAAAGGGTTGCTCAGGACCCAAATCAGCCTACTCAACCTAAAGAACCCACCCCTATGGGAGATGTTGCTACAGGACCATCTCAAGATCTCGCTCAGCCTCAGCCTGAAACTTCTAGTAAAATAAGACGCAAACATGGCTGCTCAGTTATAGATTTGATACCCCCTTATAATATTGCAGAAGATATTCTTAGCCAACGCGCCAATGCCACTTATGCACAACTATTACAGGTTTCTAGGCAAAGACAGAACCTAGCCCAGGCTTTACAACGCCCAATTATCCCTATTGTCCCTATAGCAAAACTACAAACTTTGCAGAAAACAAGCCCAACCAGCGTACTACAGCAGCTAAATGTTATGTCCGGGTCTATAATAACCCAATTCTAGCAGTTCTGGATTCAGGGGCTGCAGTTAGCATAATTTCCATGAAGCTAGCAAAGAAATTGGGGCTTACTATTACAGAACCCTCTAACACAATTGTCATCATCGCAAATGGAACCCGAGAACAAGCATTAGAAAAGCTACTAGGAGTAAAATTAGCAGTACAGTGTGTACTAGTGGCTACGGACTTTCAGGTCATCGAGAACCCCGAAGAAATGATGCTTTTGGGCATGGATTGGTTCCAAAATGTCCGTGCCCACCTGTACTTTGATGAGAAGAAACTACTCCTTCGATACCTAGAAAAACAAATTGAAGTCCCAATTTATCAAGCAAAAGAGGACCATGTGGAAATTACTATAGATGATAATGATGAGGATAATGATTTTTTTGATCATTATGAAGAGGAGGAAGCTCTCAAAGAAGTAGAAGGGTATTATACAGATGATGCAGACATAGATAAACCGCCTATTTGCCATGACAGGTATAATGATAATCCTGCCATTTACTTAACCAATATAGAAGAGATTCAGACTCTAGATAGCTACTACCACTCAGAATTAACTACAGAAGGCACAATCAAACAATTGATACCAGTAAATACCTTAACTCCAGAACAAGAAAAGAAAGCTTTACTTATCTTAAAAGGGTATAGCAGATTATTTTCAACAGGGTTAGATAAACTAGAGTACGCAGCTGGGATAGAACATACTATAGACACCGGAGAATCTAGGCCAATCAAACAATCTGCATATCGAATCTCCCCAGATAACCAAGACTTTCTTAACAAAGAAATAAAAAATTTATTGGATAATGGACTCATATACGCGTTGAAGAGTGCCTGGACTTCTTCCGTAGTAATTGTACCAAGAAGAATGGAAAATCCCGATTATGCATGGATTACAGGAAGCTCAATGCTGTAACTAAAAAGGATGCCTACCCCTACCACGCATTGACGACCTGCTAGACCTGTTTAACAAGTCAAAATGGTTCTCTAGCCTCAATTAGGCCAGTGGGTACTAGCAAATCCCAATGAAGCCGGAAGACCAAGAAAAGACTGCATTTGTTACGAAGCAAGGGGTCTATGCCTTTAGAGTCATGCCCTTTGGCTTGTGCAATGCACCTGCCACTTTCCAGCGTGTCATGAATGACTTATTACATGAATTCATCGGGCAATATGTTGCAGTATACCTGGATGACATAATTATATACTCCGAGACCTACCAGGACCACCTAACGCATCTCAGGAAAGTCCTCGACAAAATAAAGGCAGCCGGGCTAAAGCTGAACCCTGAAAAATATGAACTATTCAAGGACAATATTAGTTTCCTGGGACATAATGTGGGAAAAGAAGGTATTAAGCCAGACAAAACTAAAGTGGCCAAAGTTAAAGAATTTCCTATTCCCGGTAATCTATGGCAACTTAGAGGCTTTATAGGCCTTGTCTCTTACTACAGGCGGTTTATAAAAGGCTTTGCTATTATAGCAAAACCACTACATAAACTGTTAGAAAAGGGCGTATCATATGAATGGAGCATAGAACAAGACCAAGCCTTCAATTTGCTAAAAACCCACCTCACCACAGCCCCTGTCCTTAGATATCCCGACTTCCAAAAACTGTTCTACCTTTATACTGATGCATCAGGTGTCGGGCTTGATGCAGTACTGGCCCAAAAAGATGAAAATAGAAAAGAATATGCTATTGCATTCACTAGCAAAAACTTGACACGTTCCGAGAGAAATTATACCATGCCAGAATTGGAATGTTATGCAATAGTTTGGGCTGTGGAGTACTTCCACCATTATTTGGGTTACCGGCCTTTCACTATTGTTACAGACCACTTTGCCCTAAAATGGCTCAAACCACTGCACTAAAAGGAAGAAGAACTCGCTGGATTCTACGTCTCTAGCCATACAACTTCAATATAGTGTATAGAGCCGGGAGAGTATATAATAATGCCTATGCATTATCAAGAATGGCAGAAGAATTGCCAAGAACATGAGAAGAAAATAAGGCAATTACCGATTATCAAAAAGCAGCTGATATGAAGAATGCTGCTGAAAAAGATCAAGGTAAACCTACCCAAGAGTACCCGGAGGCCCAAATTTCTGAATTAGGTGAAGAAGTTGAAATTTTCTGAGCTATTGCTCAGGAATACTTTTATGAAGACTCTGACGAAGAAATGGAAATTATCACTTGGCAAAATAATACCACTGGGCCGATATGGTGGGAAAATGAGAATGAATTAATGAACGCTAATGAATATATGACTCAAGAGTGGGAAGAAGAACTCATCAATAGCGAGTTAGAATGAGCAATAAACTACCAAAACCTCTTACTCGAGTTGGACCGGGAAGCTAATAGGGAAATTACCTGGTTAACCAAAAATGGGTACCAAAATGGGATAACCAATAACTATTACCTTGAAAACAAACCACAACCCATGAACTGTGATGAAGCATACCTAATCGATATTCCGCAGTGGGGAGAGGCCGCCGAAGGACTTGAATTCGAAGGTAGCAGTGATGAGGAATATGAAGATACTGGATAAGGCTGCTATCAAAGCCATTTAGGACATGACTACTGTTGGTGGATTACCAACGAAGATATGGACCTCTATACAAATTTTAGCCCAGGAGACTGGGAAAAATGTCAATCACCCGACAGCTATAATTATTGGGAAAGCTGTGATTCACAATGAGAATAACTATTGCAAAGACTTATTCTACAAAGAATTAATTGAGCCCTTTTCAAAAAAAAAATAAATAAATAATAATAATAATAATAATAATAATAATAATAATAATAATAATAACTATTGTAGCAGACCTGACGTTAGAGTATAATTGGTCAGGATGGAATAGGGCGAGTTATGGGGCCCTATTCAAGCAACTAACCTAACTCTACAAGTACCTTTTTCTTTTAGGCATGGACATGATTACCAAAAGGATACAAACTTAGAAAAATCGATTACTGCTACCAATCAGTTATTATGGTCAAAGAAAAGACCAAACATTGACAAAATATAGCAAAATTACCATCGACGAAACTGA